TCAAGGTGTCGGAAAGGGGGAATGAAATCCCATTGCTATGACAATGAGTTGATTCCCTCTGTTTTCTAAGCTATGCTGAAATAGTTATACTACCGCAGCACAGAATGCCCCCCCCCAAAAAAGAGGGGGGAGGGAGCGCTGATCTGGATTCACATTTGGATGGTCTTCTCAGTGTTCACTGGGTGCACATCTGGCACGACCTTGCTTTCATGGACTTCACTGTGGTCCTTTTATGTTACCATGTTCCTTATGTGATCCCTGATTGGCTTGGATCACTTTGTTAAGAAGAAAGACACACTGAGCACATTGAAAAACAAGTTATGATGAGACAGTGGTGATTTGAGGTTATGAACAGGCATGCAAAGGTGATGAAAAAAATGAGTTTGAAGAACATTTGAGTTCCAGTGTGTCTGGAAACAGCAACCTCTGATGTGGGAGCCTTCACCTCCAACCCCCTATATCACGAGACTCACTAGAGTTACTCCGTGGTGCACAAAATGCACTCTGCACTTGGTTGAGTGAACTTTCAAGTGTAGTAGAACACACCCACCCCTTACATGAGAGTTCAGTTCTGGGGATCTACACGCAAAGGCAAAATCTTGCAAAATAAGAAGCCTCTGGAAACTAACTGCTGCAAGGTAGAGGGTTGCTTACCGAGCTCTGGGAAAGTTGCTGGAGAGTCCTGGGATGCTCCCAGAGCCCTTTCACTACCTTCCCAGAGCCCAGTAAGCAAGGAAATCCAACTGTGTGGGTGGGTGGGTGGGTGGGTGGTGAGAAATAAATAAATGGTGAGTGGGGAATGGCAGTTTCCCCCTGCTCTCCATTTATTTATTTTTCCCACCCACCTGCGTAAAGTTGAGATCACATACGAAAAGTGGCCGTAAGTTGCAGGTCCACTGCATTCCTACCATTGCAGGGCTGCACTTGGGCATTGACAATCTGGGCCTGAAAACTGATTAACCATTGCAATGGATAAGGTTTGGACTGGGTTGGAGAGCTTAGAGTGTTGTGATATTTGTGTGTGTGTGTGTGTGTGTGTGAGAGAGAGAGAGAGAGAGAGAGAATAGGAGGGAAGGAGGGAGAGAATGGGAGGGAAGATATTAAAGAAAGATTTTTTTGTGTCTTGAACCAAGCCAAATATTTTCTTGTCACTATGCTCATAACTCCAGTCTGCCGAGGTCACGGCCTTCACTTTCTTCTTCAGATAGTTGGCGGGTGGAATGTCCCTGCGATTAGAGCATCTTTTGTTTTCCTTGGGAGGGGCCTTGCTTACCCTGGCGGGTCCCTGAGACTCACCAAGGCTCTCTAGACTCTGTTTATTAGATTTTTATCTTCTTATCAGAGTCTTCCTCCTTAAATCATGTCAGGATTTTACCGCTCTTTAGGGATTCCTGGTGCTTTATTGTGCGTATGCTGGTTGTGGAAAGTGGGAGGGAGCGGACGGGGAATGGTGGGGTTGGAGGGTGGGGGCTGCAATGCCGAGACACCCTCATAAAAATAGCATTTATGTAATGGCAGAAATGAGTACGGGGGATTTGTCTCCCTTGGATTCCCAGGTCATCTAAGCTTCTTATTTGGAATAAATATATAGTAAGGGGATGTGATGCCATACAGGGAGAGGCCAGATGGTTGCCACTCTTTGTCACCACAGTGTTAACCTAATAAGCCCACCCTCCATCCCCAAAAATCACACCAAAGTCAGTGATGCTTTAGTGAACTGCCACTGATTAGGTCTTTGGAAGGCTCATAGCTCAGTGATACAAAAAGCCCCAGGTTCATTCCCTAGCATCTCTGTCTGAAGTCCTAGATAGCTGCTGCAAGTCCGCGTAGGTAATACAGAGCTTGATGGGCCAGTGGTCTAACTTAGTATAAGTCAATTTCCTGTATTAGCTATCAAAGACCTTGGGTTGAAGAGTCTGGCAAGCAGACCTAGGTGCCTTTGCTCTCTGTGGCATGGCAGTGGCTTGTCAGAAGAGGGAACTGTTGGCCCACTTACCGCTGCAGTTAGCTGCCACCACCAGCCACGGAGTGGTATTACAGCTTCCCCAATTATCACATGACCCATGGGAGCCAATAGGTTTCTTCCTGGTCCCGTACTGCCTCAGACCCTGGTCTGGATCTTAGGTCTGGGCAGTTCTTGGCTGAACAGAGAGCAAGCATGTCTGTGCTTGTTGCTTGCCAGCCCATCACCCCAGCTTAAGCCCCAGCTCTGTTTGTGTGAAGGGGCAACACAGATGAAAAGTGAGGCCACCCCTGCTTCCTATCCAAGGGATAGAAAAATGCTCCACAGTTTAGATGAACTTATCCCTCAACATTTCAGGGGCTGTTAGGAGCCACGGGACCTTGGTGTGGGACTAAATGTGCAGCCCCCATGCCCCTTTATGTATGTCGGGAACTGGGAATCTCATGCCCAGGGCTCCATGTGGCCCTCCATATCTTTCTCACAGGCTCTTGGGGTTCTGCTCAAGTCACACCCCTTCCCCAGCCACCACCAGTCTTGCTGCCCCTACTTTGCGTATTTATGCCTGGCTAGAATGTGTCATTGAAGAAGAAGAGTTTGGATTTGATATCCCACTTTATCACCACCCAAAGGAGTCTCAAAGCAACTAACAATCTCCTTTCCCTTCCTCCCCCACAACAAACACTCTGTGAGGTGAGTGGGGCTGAGAGACTTCAGAGAAGTGTGACTGGCCCAAGGTCACCCAGCAGCTGCATGTGGAGGAGCGGAGACGCGAACCTGGTTCACCAGATTATGAGTCTACCGCTCTTAACCACTACACCACACTGGCTCTCCGACTGAACTTTGATGGCATGCCTTGCTAACCTGGATGGAGGTTAGAAAGGGAAAGTAACATTTGCTTCTTTAACCACTTCTGGGCTTTCCCACCACCACCTTCTTGCCCCTGGAAGGTGGCATAGAAGGAAATGTGACCCTAAGGCTGGAGAAAATTCTCCACCACTGGTATCTTTTGTATGAGCAATGCATGAAAGGGTTTTAATGTCTGATAAATAAAACTAAGGCAAACTTGCATCCTACAGGTAGATTGCAAACTGCCATCTTTGAGCAAGCCATTTTTTTTAATCTACTGCAAAATCTAATAGGTTTCAAAATGGATTCTCAGTCACCAGACTTGGGTGTAAGTCTCGTGGTTTAATGTGAAATTTGTGTGATTGCTGTATACTTCTAAAGAGTTTTGCCATTTGAATCTCAAACTCAGGGTTGGCGTCTATCATTCCATTTTCACAAGTTAGTTGCCTATATCTTAAAAATGCCAAAAAGTAATTTAGCATCAAGCATTTGTACAACTCTCATTTATACAAAGTGGAGGGGGAAATGCCACTCTCCGAAAAATAAACAGAGAAATGTGATGTGATTTGCAGGGAAAATCTTATTTTCACCCCACCCCACCCCCCGCTTTCAGTAACATTGTTTGGATAATGAATCTTTAATGCTAACTTCTCTTCTAAAGATAAGATTTTTCCAACTTGTCTCGAAGCAAAACTCTCTTTTTCATTATTGTGTAACATAACAGAAATGTGAAGGACACAGACCTTGGGATGTTGGAACAAATGACTCATATGAAGAATATAATCATTAGTAGCAAATAAAGATGTGTGGGCCTTATTTCTATTTTTAAAGAAGTATTAAATTTCCTTATGATCTGGTAATAGGTTTGCCAAGTCCATTTCTTAAGCGGATCTGGAGATCCAGGTAGCAACAAACTAGCTTTGACAGGCAAACATATACACAGACGTGTATATGTGATGTGGTTTGTTTCTACAAACAAACAAACGAAAGGGAGTTTATAAAAGTTATGCATGGAATGGAGAAAGTGGATAGAGAAAAGTTTTTCTTCCTCTCTCATAAGACTAGAACCAAAGAAGCTGAATGTTGGGAGAGTCAGGACAGATTAAGGAAATGGCTCCTTCATGCAGCACATAGTTAGACTAAAGCAATCACTTCCATGGGAGGCAGGAGTGGCCACCAACCTAAATGGCTTTAGAAGAGGATTGGAATGTCGGGATTCACAGAATGCTGTGTGAGATAGCAAGTCTGCAGGCTTGAGTTTGCTAGCTGATGCAACTGGCTGATGCAATCAGCCTGCAATACTTTCTATGGATGTGCTGGGTCAGAATGACTCAGCAGTAATGTGCTGTCAGTTGATTGGCTGTCATAGGTTTAAAAGGGAAACCTGTCGAGCAGTAAAGTGATGGTGTAGAGGAGTGTGGTCAGAGAGAGAGAGTTAGAGGTCTTCCTATTTGCCTTAAGGTGCAGCCAGGTACTCTGTTTGACTGTATGAACTGCTTCTGTATTATAGCCTGTAGATATCTGTATATACAATGGTACCTTGGGTTACATATGCTTCAGGTTACAGACTCCGCTAACCCAGAAATAGTACTTCGGGTTAAGAACTTTGCTTCAGGATGAGAACAGAAATTGTGCTCCAGTGGCGCAGCAGCAGCAGGAGGCCCCTTTAGCTAAAGTGGTGCTTCAGGTTAAGAACAGTTTCAGGTTAAGAACGGACCTCCGGAACGAATTAAGTACTTAACCAGAGGTACCACTGTATAGCTCACAATAAATATACTGCACTGAAGAACCTGGAACTCTGAGCTATCAATGGCCCCCAGCCATGATGACTGTGCTTTGCCTCCATAATCAGAGGCAGCCAGGCATTCCTGGCTCCAATGTTGAAGGTGGTAAAGGAGAAAGCATCTTGCAGGAATGGATTCAGGAGCGGTAGGGACATTCCACTACAAAGCATTCCTTTTACTGTTAAAGACTTCCCAGCTCCCATTTTATACCTCAGTGGGCTAGATGACTTTCCAGTTGCTAGGAATCAGAGGTGGAGAGAGTCCTGTGACAGTCAAGTACTGCTCTGGTCCTCCTGCAGGCATCTGGTTGGCCACTGTGAGAACAGGTTGCGGGAGTCTCCTTACGTTTGTATTAAAAGGAATGTGCCTGCCAGCATCATGCCTAACTTAATCTAGCTTCCCACTTTGGAGAAGGTTTGTAGCACAGTATTAAAGCATCTGCTTGGCATGCAGAAGTTTCCAGGTTCAATCACTGGCATCTCCAGGTAGGGTTGGGAGAAATCCCTGTCTGAAGCCCTGGGGAGTTTAGATATTGCTGAGCTAGATGAGCCAGTGCTCTGACTTGGTATAAGGTAGCTTCATATGCTCATACGTAGACATGAAACTGGTGCTATTCTTCTAAGAGTTGGGGTGAAAGGAACATTTCATTTGTCCCTGTACGAGACAAAGAAGGGGGAGGCAGGAGAAGAGGCAGAATGAAAGGTAGAGAAAAGGAGAAAAACAGACCCAGGGAAAGATTTCTATTGGTACGTTTCCATTTCTCATTCTTCCGTATATGGTACAGTGTCTTACCCAGCAAATGTGAATGTTATAGATTCAAACCATTTAATCAGCAGAGTGCATAAATCAGTTTTAAGCCAAATATTACAGTGATACCTCAGGTTAAGTACTTAATTCGTTCCGGAGGTTCATACTTAACCTGAAACTGTTCTTAACCTGAAGCGCCACTTTAGCTAATGGAGCCTCCTGCTGCTGCCGCGCCACTGGAGCACAATTTCTGTTCTCATCCTGAAGCAAAGCTCTTAACCTGAAGCAATATTTCTGGGTTAGTGGAGTCTGTAACCTGAAGTGTATGTAACCTGAGGTACCACTGTAAATGCAATCTGACCACAAAAAGCCTACAGGGCATTAAAAACTTTTAGCCCAAAGTCTGTGGGGCTATTGGTCACCAAAATCCTCTGTGAAAACCTTGTTTTAAGCCCCCCTTTCATTCTCTCCCCCACTTTCCTTTTTTAATGGACTTCCCTGCCCTTAGAGTGTGTGTATATGTGTGTGCAAAAACGTGTGCGAGAGAGTGTCCATGCATGTTTGCAATCTTAAAGTAGGCTAGTAAGGAGGACAGGAGTAGGCAATTTTCATTCTGTTTGCTTTAAACCTCCCAGCTAGGATTAGCTGTGTCCTACATTGTACCTTCTGGATCGAAGGTTAGGCAAGAGGTCAAGTAGGAGATTTCAACACATCTGATGCAAGCTCTTGGCTCTCTCCTCTCCAAGAAGGGGAAAGCTTTTCACCACTCTTTCCTAATGCTCCAGTCTTAAACACTACTTTGTTTTATTTGTATGTGCAAAGAGGCAGGCTGGAACTCTTTTAAACCACCATTCACAAATCTGTGCCATCCATCATTCTCCTGTCTTGGGGAAGCCGTGAAGGAGTTGTCATCAAAGGCTGCTGTTTAAACATTTTGCCGCCAACAGGAACCTGAGTGGGTTGCAGGAAATCAGCATGTGGCATCTGGGAAATTGAACACATTGGGGAGGGCACATTTAAATTCAGTGTGAAGGGGGGAACTTTATGCAAAGGCCGAAAGCAGGATGCTGGTGGCAAGGAGAGATGATTTGGGGCTAGCGATGGAGCTGGCTGGTCAAGAACATAAGAGACTGCTGAATCAGGCCAATGGTCCATCTAGTCCATCATCCTGTTCTCACAGTGGCCAACTAGATGCTTCTTGGAAACCTATATGCAAGACCTGAGCACCAGGGCATTATCCTCACCTGGAGTTTCCCCAAAAATGGTATTCAGAGGCATTACTGGAGGCAGAGCACAGCCATTAAATCTACTAGACCAGGCATAGGCAAACTTTGCCCTCCAGCTGTTTGGGGACTACAACTCCCATCATCCCTAGCTAACAGGACCAGTGGTCAGGGATGATGGGAATTGTAGTCCCAAAACATCTGGAGGTATAAGATTGCCTATGCCTGTACTAGCCATTGATAGTCCAATGGCTTTGTCCAATCATCTTTTAAAAGCCAACTAAGCTGGTGGCCATTACTGCCTTTTGTGGGAATAAATTTCATAGTGGTGCTGGAGCCTTCAAAAATGGTAGATCTTCTGAAATTTTGTAGCCGGAGCAAAGCATGTTTCTTATGAGGGAGAAATTCAACTCACTTTGCATTTAAAGGTGAATCTATCAAATTGTTTCCAAAACAATGCGAGAACTGAAATTTTCAAATATCTGAAGGGCTGCCACATGGAGAAAGACGACATGGTGCCCTCCCATCCGACGCTGTTCTGCTCCAACTCCCATTTGCCCCAATCAGCATGGAGAATGGCCAGGTATGATGGGAGTTGTCATCCTGGGATATCTGGAGGGCAACAATTTGGCCGCTACTGGTATAGACAGTACTGAGGTTGAGGGATCAATGGTTTGATGTGAGGCAAGACATCTTCCTAAAATTCTGTTGTAGCCAAGCTGTAGAAAAATGGCATTTGGATGGTGGTTCATGGAAAGTTTAATTCAAGGGGTGATTAAGAACCTAAGAAGAACCTTTTGGGTCATTCCAATGGCCCATCTAATCCAGAACCCTGTTCTCCAAGTGGCCAACCAGATGCCTGAAGGGAAACCACAAGCAGGGCTGGGCACAAGAGCACTCTTTCCTCCCACAGTTTCTAGCAAGTGGTATTCAGAAACATGGCTGCCTCTGACTGTGGAAGCAGAGACTAGCCATCATGCTTAGCAGCCATCAATAGCCTTCTTGTCCATGTAGACTACCTTCGTCCATGTGCCATTTTTTATGAGATGCATCACATGAGCAGTGGCGACACATGAGCAGCAAACGTGGCCACCACAATCCCATCTCGTTTGACCCTCAACATTGGTACAGAAGCACCCAAGGTACAGGCTCCGCTCCGTAACCTTCAGAGAATGATGACATCCTAAAGGCATGTTTTTTGATTAAAATCATCTGGGAAGGTTGCAGGGGAAGAGAGTAAACCCATAAGTATTTTTTTTCTCTCTCTCTCTTCTTAAATGAACAAAATTCTGTTTCCTTTCTTCAGCAGTGAAATTGCTCGGTGGAGAAAGGAACTCCCCCTTCAAGATAATTTATCTACATGAACTCTCTCCCTTTATCACAGTAGGAGAATAAAATATGGCTATTTAGCAGGGAGCTTTTTGTCCAGTTCCAAAGCAGGCATCTTGAACGTGCAAAACATCTTCACTATAAATCCACCCAAGGCCCACAATGCTCTCGTCTTTGCATTTTTATTTTTCTTTATTTAAGAGGGGCGGGGAGAAAACAACAATCCCAACAGCAACCGATAGACATAATGAGACAGTGTCCTTCTCCTGCAAGCAAAGAGTTCAATAGTTTAATTTTTGTTAACCGAAATCCCTTGTACGAAGGTAAATTACATTGCATTTTCTATTACTAGCTCTGTTAATTGTCAAGCAGTAAGAGTTTATGCAGTCATCCAGAGCAGCCGAGAATTTCCCATAATGTTACAAAATAAAACCTGACAAAGCACAATAATCTTTAGTTTATTGATGTGTTACCAGGCTGTGGAAAAGCATCAGATCCGTAATGTGCTTTGGTTAGGAAATTGGGGTCTGGGGAGAGATACAGGGAGTTGTGAAGATCATTCTCTCTCTCTCTCTCTCTCCCCCCACCTCTCCCTCTCCCTCATCCCCTCCCACTTTCTCTGTCTCTTACTCTCTCTCTCTCTCTCTCTCGTACACAGATAGGCCAAATTCACTCCATGCATTTAGAGTACTATTGTGCTACTTTAAACAGTCATGGCTCCCCCCCAAAAAGACCTGGGAACTGCAGTTTGTCAAGGGCGCTGAAACTTATAAGGACACTCGCCACTCCTAGAGTGGTTTAACAGTCAATCCTTCTTCTCAGGGAACTCTGGGAATTGTAGCTTTGTGAGGAAAATAGGAGCTCTCCTAACAACTTGAAGCACCCTTAACAAACAACAGCTATCAGAATTCTTGGGCGGCGGGCAGGGGGAGGACTGTTTAAAGTGGTATCATAGTGCTTAAAATGTATGGTGTGGATGTGGCCTGAGTCACACAAAATCAGAAATTTTAGGCCAAAAGATGAAGAAAGCTTTCTAGATTGGATGAAAGTCTCATGAAAGGTTGGTAGGGCCAATAAGACAAAACTTTATTCACATTAGCCAGTGGCCATAGCAATGGTAGGGCCAATTCCTACCATGAGGCAGACTGAACCTCTAAGGGTTCACGCAGACTTCCGCTTGTCCCATATGTAGAAAGCACGGGTCTGAGCAGTGTCCCCCTTCCCTGGCTCCTTTCCCAGGGACCTTCAGATAAAAAGGGGAAAGTTGGGACAGAGCCAAATGTCATGCTTCTCTCTTTCTCCTCCCTTCTGGCCAACTGAAAAAAAGCCCTTCACTACATTAGGTAGCAAATCCAGGTTTCTTGCTGTGCAGTGGGTGAGATCTCCCCAAGTCCTTCAGGTATGGAGTGTGTGTGTGTTAAATACAAATATATGCATGTTGCTTCTCTTTCTTGCATTTCATTCTTTCTATCTGTCTATCTATAACTGTCATCTATCAATTTCAATTCCCTTTGAACTAAATGGCAACACTAGGACTGTCTTTATTTTTCTTAGTTTGCATTTAGGGAGAATGAGGGAGAGAGAGAGAGAGAGAGAGAGAGAGAGAGAGAGAGAGAGAGAGAGAGATGTTCCAGCCTGCAATAAAAGATGGCAAAGTGATAAATTAGTGCTCTCAACTGAAATTGATTACCTTGTGTTCCCATCCAGTTCATATGGCAGCAACACAGATGCTCTGAAGCACCTTAATGACACATTGGAGAAAACCCATCAGGTTGGCCCTATGGAGCACTTTTCTGCTTCCCTCTCTGTGTTAAGGCACAATGGAGAAAACCAGCATCCACTTTTTTTCCTTTATGGATCGAGGAAAGTTTGATATCTCTGCAGTTATTCCTACAGATTTCCCCCTGCAAAAGACATCTCAGGAATGTTTAGAAGCTGTGGGGAAAGTGGCCTGACATAAATGTCCTGTGATGAAACTTTCAGATATTTCCCCCACATATTTGTGACTCCTTCCGTTGTATAAAGGATTCATACAGCAAGTGAAACACAACCACTTAGTGAAGAGGGGAAGATGTCCTGCTGAGATCCAAACAGAATATTATAAATGCAGGGGAAAGCTCCCTGAAGGCGCTAAGGGAGACCTTTCAGAGTCTGACCTTTGCTGGTCTGGTCTCCTGTTTAAAGC